TGAGTCACCGCGCCCGGCCATCAGCTAACTTTTTAAAGGGTGGAAGCCTCTACTGAAGTCTTTCCCTTGCTGTTTTCAGTAGGATTAAGGAATGGGTGGAATGCTGCAGGAAGAGAGGGATTTTTTCCACTGATCTCTCCAGATTGCTGGCCACTCAGGTTCTGTCTTGTCTACTACCTGAAAATGGTTCCTCTGTTTACAGCTTCTCGTTACTAAAAGCTTGGAGTGGGAATGACTCCCAGAGCCTGGGCACATCTCAGCCCCATCAATATCATTCTGCCCCTTGTGTGCTTGGCATTCCCAGCCAGGGGTAGGAAATGCTCATGGTGTCACCTCTATGCCCTTCAGTGCTGTTATTCAGTTTCAAGTCTCTGTACCTTCTGCTTCCTTTAATCAAATCCCATCTCTTCTTGGCCTCTCTTAGATTCCTACTACTCTTTATTCTGAACATGTTGCTGTACTTACACAATTAAAACCCTATTTTTGACATTTCAGGTCTTAGATGCAGGTCACAGAGAAAATAGCATGAACTGCAAATGCCATGTTGACTAGAAGACCCAGATTAATACAATTTTATTCTCCACTCCATGTAGGAACATGGAGCTGCTCTCCCCAAAGTGAAAGATGGGACCAGGATCCCTTAACCCCAGAGGTCCCTTTGCATCTCTCCTATGACTGCATGGAACATGGTATTTTAAATCATCAGGTTGGATGACTTCCAGGGTCACTTTGACTCATACATTTTATGATTTCAGGGTCTAAGAATGATGGTATTACATGTAAGAACTCTGAAGCCTCAAAGAGAAGGGTAAGTAGAATTCTTCTTTCTTTCCTATTGTTCCATAAATAGGCTATTGAAATGACTAGTAAAGAGCAGGAACATCTCATAGGCTGTTTCCTAGTTCCGATACTATACAAAGAGGGAACACCCTATCCTCACTTCCCTTTTAACATGTCACATTTCTTCCTTCATCTGTCAGTGAAAATTTCTCCATTTTTCCATATTCAATATTTATCCCATTTTATTTAATTATTAATTATCTACATTGAGTATTGCCACCAAGTTGAGGGGAACATGCAGAGAAGCAAGTTGTAAATATCAGTAGTATGTTTGGTCCAGGTTGGGGAAACTGCTTTAGAAATGACTGGTCACTTGTGGAAACTTGGCAACATCTCATTCTCATTTTGACAAAAAGTACAAAGTCAAGTCTTGTTTCACTTTTATTTTTGTTCACTTTAACACAGTTTTATTTTGAAAGCTGAGTTCAAGAAAAGGCCTTGAAAATACCAATTAAGTGTCTCTATTAAAAGCCACTGGTAGGAAAAAAAAAGTCTCTATTGTGTTTCAGAAAAAAAAAAAGTAAAAAAGAGAATCACAAAATTTCTATGAGAAAAACTCTGGGTACTATTAACCTTCTCCACACAACATGGAATAATATGAAGACAGGTTTCTTCTAGGTGTTCATTGAAACTCAGAGCACATGCATAAAGAAAGAATGTTGGCCAAAGCAATATTCTATAAGGGACTGATTACCTGATTCTGTCGACTCTGGAAACCTACATGTTTGCTACAGTGAGATATCAGCCTATGAAAGCATTTCTCAATGTGTGCTTTATAGAACAGTTATCTTACAAGATATGCTGTAAAAAAAGACCCTGTGATCAAACAAATTTGAAAAATACACCATATTCTCTCCTCCTCTTGGAGATTTACTATGCATATTATCATGTCATGTAGTTTAATTATCTTAACCCAGCATTTCTCAAAACTATTTCCCATAGCATCCTCTTTGTTCTGGTTACTTGACACCTGTTGCTAAGGGCAGGTGGTATAGCAAGGTGGGTAAGAGCAAAGCCGTAGAAAATGAAGAACCTACTTTCAAATTTTGTTTCTTCTACTTAACAAGTGAATCTCTTTTGGTTTCACTTCCCTTGCCTATAAAAGAGACACAATAATCATGATCTTGTGGAATTATGTTCACAGGCAATACTACATCTAAAGAACCCACTCCGTACCAGCCATGTGTGAAGGCCTTGGAAAATAGTAGCTAAAAGAGTATATAGTGATTCTTTGCTTGAACTTGGGAGGCGGAGGTTGCAGTGAGCCTAGATTGCTCCATTGCACTCCAGCCTGGGTGACAGAGTGAGACTCTGTCTCAAATTTAAAAAAAAAAGTATATAGTGATTCTTGAGGTTAGATTGATAACAATAATAGTAACCCAAAAGATTACTAAAGATCTGGAAGCCTAGAGGGTTGTAAATATTAATGCATGGATTATTTTGTTCTTCCCTCCCTTGGTCCTAGAAAAATGTTAGAATGAGAATAGCGACCTGGAAAAAGCTTTGCTTTAGAGAGACAGATTTTTAAGTACTTCTTAAAGTTAGTTTTTATTATTGCCCTTTAGTGGAGCCCTTTCTGCACTTATGTCCTTTCCATCAATGTCCATCCAACAGAATATTTCCTTTTTCTGTTCTGCCATTTCCATTTTTTTTTTCTTGAGACAGAGTCTCTCTCTGTCACCCAGGCTAGAGTGCAGTGGCATGCTCTTGGCTCACTGCAACCTCTGCCTCCTGGGTTCAAGGGATTCTCCTGCCTCAGCTTCCCAAGTAGCTGGGCCTATACCTGCCAGCATGACTGGGTATTTTTGTATTTTTAGCAGAGTCAGGGTTTCTCCATGTTGGCCAGGCAGGTTTTGAACCCTTGACCTCCAGCGATTCTCCTGCCTTGACCTCCCAAAGTTCTGGGATTAGAGGTGTGAGCCACTATGCTCGGCCCTCTGCCATTTACTTTTATACCTACCCCAACAAGGGAGTTGCTTTCTTTAACCCCTGTGTCCTTCTTGTTCCACTAGCACTTTCCCAGTGATGAACTCTAAAGGTTCTCAAACATAGTCACTGCTCTGTGTAGAGGTGCAAGAGGAACCTGAGGAGAGATGCGTTTTTGCCATACATTGAACCTCAGGTGAAATTTGAAGTGAGAGTTTTCAGCGGCCCTGTTTTCATAAAACAGCTGACCCTAGCAAGGGGCGGTAGGTTTGAATTTCACTGTTAGCTTCTTTATTGCTAGATTAGGTTGAAAAAAAAAAAAAAAGAAACAAAACATTCAAATGCATTTGGCAGGTGGTCTTATAACTCCTGCATGGGTGCTCAGGATTTCAGTGTTAAGCTTGGAATGATTCAGAATTCAAGGAAAGGAATATCGTGAAGTATAGAGTCCATGAGCTTTGGTGTTAAAATCTGGAATCTGCTTACGTGTGGATAAAATAGCTTCTACAGGACTCATTTTTCTTACCTTTAATTTTTAAAAATAAAATGATATCTAAATCTTAAGATTTCTGTTAAGTTTAAATGAAATAATGCAGAGTGTTTAGAGTATGTGCTATTCTGTCGGTTTAGGTGGCTGTTCGCGTTCAGGAAAACGTGTCCGTTGATAGACTTAGGAGTTTTTGTGTGAGTTAGATTGCTATCCTAAAATGGGAATTGTGCTGTTCGTCCATATATTAATGCATCCTCTGTCCCTAAAATAAGTGGCATACCAGGCCGTAAACAAGATGTTATGTTCCAACGTCCAAAATGTTAGACTAGAAGGTCAAATCTTTTCTGATATTTGACAGATTTTGCCATCCCAGAATCCATTTGTTTCTGAGGAAAAGTTACAGAAGATTTCTAACATCAAAGAACTTGAAGGCTGTTCTGCTAAATAAATGATTCGGAGCAGCTGTATAGGATGTGCTCAGGAAGTTGTGCTTGCTCTAATCTAGTTCTCTTTGACCCAGTCTAGTTTCAAGTATAGGGGAGGGAGAGAAAAAAGCAGTATAATAAGGCTTGGTCCATCGTTTTCAGATAAGGGACCCAAGGCCCAACTCAACCCATTCCCTCTTTGGTTGTGTTGAAAGTGCTATTTCATTGCTGTATTTTGTATCAGATGACTATTTTAATTTTGATTTTATATACCTGCTATATTTCATTATATTTTAGACATTTCTTATGGTTTTAATGCATCTTTGCGTCTGTTTTTTTCCTAAAAAAGACATACTGATTTTGTAGTTATATCATATGGTTCCATTAATTGAAATGGTAGCAGATCTTTATCAGCTGTTTCTTACATCTGTTCCCTCTTACTCATGGTGGATCATTTTCTTTTATGTTTTTTGCTTTGGGGTAGTAATCTCATCTTCCTGTGCAGCCTGAGGTGAGGGTATATCTCTCCAGAGAGTAACTGTGTTGGAATTTTCCAGGTGCCCAAAGGGGACCACAGACCTGGGATCATTTGTATGTTAATAGAAAAGCTTATGGCTTCACAAACCATAAAGAAAATTTAAATTCAAACCTGACTCCCAAAAGTGAAACAGGATTATGATTTTAATTTCACAGATTCTTGGAGGATTTTTTTCCACTCAGAGACTAGAGAGAGTTGGATATGTTTTCTTGAATTCATTCTATGCTGATAGCTAGTTTTATATACTCCCTTCCTTCCATGAGAAAGTACCACTTTAATGGATTTTACAACCAATTTTCAGGTAGACCTCTGGTGAGCCCAAGGTCACATCTTCTGTTTCTGAATGTGTGTTCAACACCCTAGTCCCTAGTTTAGGAGCCACCCTTACCCCAGCAGCAGTATTAGCTCATGCACTTCTACTCTCATTTATAGTTCTATTTTTACTCATAGCACGAGGGGATTTTTCTTTTGTTATGACTAGTTGGGCTATGCATGTAGAAGTTTGCACCATTTTGTTGACAATGTCTAAGTGTTTATTGCAAGAGGGTGCTATGATCTAAATGTTTGCATTCTCCTAAAATGTATATATTGAAACACTGTTATTAGTCAGGGTTCTCTAGAGGGACAGAACTAATAGAATATATATGTATATATAATTCTCTCTCTCTCTCTCTATATATATATATCTAGAGAGAGAGAGAGAGAGAGAGAGAGAGAGAGAGATGGGAATTTATTAACTCACAGAATCACAAGGTCCCACAATAGTTTATTAGCAGGCTTAGGAGCAAGGAAAACTAGCCTGAGTTCCAAAACTGAAGAACTTGGAGCCTGATGTTTGAGGGCAGGAAGCATCCAGCATGGGAGAAAGACGTAGGCTGGGAGGCTAGGACAGTGTCTTTTTTCACATTTTCTGCCTGCTTATATTCTAGCTGAGTGGGCAGCTGATTAGATTGTGCCCACCTAGATTAAGAGTGAGTCTGCCTTTCCCAGCCCACTGACTCAGATGTTAATCTCCTTTGGCAATACTCTCATGGACACACCCACTATCAATACTTTGTATCTTTCAATCAAATCAAGTTGACACTAAGTATTAACCATCACAAAATCCTAATCCTCAAAGTGATGATATTTGGAGGAGGGGCCTTTGGGAGAGGATTGGGTTATAAAGGTGGAGCCCTCATTAATGAAATTAGTGCCCTTATAAAAAAGACTCGAGAGAGCTTCCTCATTCCTTCTACCATGTGAAGACACAGCAGGAAGGCACCATCCATGAACCAGAGAGCAGGTGCTCACCAGACACCAAATATGTTGGCACCTTGATCTTGGACTTCCAGTCTCCAAAACTATCAGAAATAAATATTTATTGTTTATAAGCCACCCAATCTAGGGTATTTTATTAAGGGAGCTTGAATATACTAAGACAAAAGGGTCTTGAGTTTTTGTTGTCAACCTTATTGCCTTAACTCAGAGTCAAGTAGTGTTGTTTCAACCTAAAGTCCTTCAGTGAATTCTGGGGACTTAGCAGCACTAAAAAAGATATCCAATATGCCAGCTCTCAGACCTTCCCCTGCTCTCAGGGGCACTTCTTTGCTTTTGTGTGTTTTATATACTGAACTTTTGAATGACAATTAGTTACACATAATGGTTTACTCTTTCAAAATAAAGTTTTAAAATTCTGCATCAAGATGTGGTGTGACAAACACAAATCTCATTGAACAATGACATGAGCAATTAACAAATTTCAAACTGCCATAATTATTTTACAAATAAACTTGGCATCTCTTTGAGTACCTGGAACAGAAATTACCTCCCAACTTGAGATGCGGTTAAGACAATCACACTTCCCAAGGGAGTAAGCCACTCTAGGAAGAAGTTGAACAAGACTGGAGCCCTGTTAACACTTGTGAACTAGGACAAGTTTCTCCATTAATGTTGGCAGCGGTGGGGACCTCATATCTGGAGTCAATAATGCATTACACTACTTAAGCTGGAGAAAGAGTTCATCGACTATGTTTTTTTAAAGGCTCTCGTCAAGGGACTTTACCCAGGGAGGCAAAAACTCCTTGAGTCCCAGAGAGGCTCTAAATAAGGTAGAATATTGGCTGTGAGAACACTGTCCTAGAAAAAGCATAGGAAGGGGAACAGAACAAACACAGGGAACTGAAGAAACTTTGTAAAATAAAAGAAGATAAAAGTAGAAAGAGGGAGCATATGGCTCCAGAAGAGGGGACAAAAGCACACACTAATATGGGCATCGTCTTTGACATCAAATGTGAGAGGCTATTAATACACACATATTAGAGTCTAAGACATGCTAGTATCAGAAAAAAAAAAAAAAAGTCTAATGCAACTAACCTCCAGGTATAAATACTTATCATGTCTGACAAAATCTGACTAATCCCAGCCCTGCCTACCTCCAGCCAAACTCCCTCCCAATGGCTGGTTATTCTGGATTGGCTGTCTCTCTGTCCTGGGAGCAAGCCAAGCTCCTTCTGACACTGAGCATTGCACATGCTATCACTTCTACCAGTGGCACCTCTCCACTGGGATTTCTGGTCTTACTTTAAATGCTGCCTGTCCAGGGATACTATCCTTGCTCTCCACACACCTGCACTCAAAGCCAAATGTGGTTCTCCCTTGACCCATTTTCTTAGAATTTTAGGATTGCTGTTTTAACGCACTTATCAAAACTGTAATGGTATAATTATGCCTGTCATTTTAAAAAACATATTTTTTCCTTACTAGAGTATATATTTCATGAAGTCAGAAATAGTTTGTTCTCCATGTCCAAGGTAGTTCCTGACACTCAATAAATATTTCTTGGGAGAATAAATAAACAGATTAAAAAACAGAAAAACAGGTTTTTAAGAAAGTTAAATACAATCAGTCTTGTAGTCTTGTACTTTACTGAGTCAACTGTTGATTTCCCAAAGATCATCAGAAAAGTCTATTGATCAAGAAAAGCTCAGCTTATTAGATTTACTGGAGACAGTCTTAGTAGTGTCTCAAAATAGAAATAGATATGGTTTTGGGGTCTTGGGTGACTGGATTTAAGGAGAGTCTTACAAGATAGAAACTATTTGGGATTGAACAGAGATTATGCCATGATAGCTTTGGATTGATGGTCACAGTGCAGAGGGTCTTGAAGTAATTCTGGATGAGTCAAGTGTTATTCATGAGAAGTAAGCTGTTTAGTTTGTTCCCAGACTTATCTTCCAGAAGCAGGTATTTCCTAGAGCAAGAGCTAAATTATTTCTGTTTATTCTCAGCATTGCTTAGCAAAGAAAGAGGTAGAATCCATCATCCTAGACTTGTTTAGCTCAGAGAGAGGGAAATACGCCTGTTTCCAGTGTTGTCAAACACAGGGACAGAGAATTATTGTGTGTTCTTAGTCCACCTTTGAGTTGTACTGCAGCCTGAGCTTGGGAGTAGGTTATAATTGTCTTGAGATGTGATCAGTCCAGACCTCCGGTGCTGTTTGACTGTTGCGTCACCTTGTAGAGTGTCTGGTGGTAATCTTTTTGATACTGAAACGTATCAGATTATCTTATTTTTTCTTGCTGAAAGTTTGTGTCCTCTCATTTGATGGGACAGTGGCTTCATTTGTGCACAGTGACACAACTCTGAAAAGAGAGATTATAGTTAGATGGTGCAGTCCACTTTTAAACCAGAAACAATGAGATCTGAATTAAACTAGGACACAGGTCCCATCCCTATTTGAAAGTGCCCACAAGAAACTACATGTGGGGGATTTTGATAAAAGTCTAATTTCAGCTTATTTGCTCCAGCAAATCCCACCTCCAACATAAGATGATAAATACCCCAAAATCTTTTCTTTACATTGCCCAGTTATTCATATTTAGATTCAATCCTGTAAGCCTTGAGGGTTACCCCTACATGAAATACCCAGGGGAAGAAGTTGGAGAAAAGGGCAATTTGTTTTTTCATAACCTACTATGTGCTGCCATAGCAACCCCGTTAGTTCTGACAATAAAAATTGAGGCATAGAAAAGGGAACCACTTTTCTAGAAATGGGGAAAGTAATAAATATTGAACAACGGGGAAAGTAATAAATATTGAACAATTAATATAATCTGAGTCCCTCCAACTCCAAAGACTGTGTAAACCCCACTGTGCCATAAAATCTCCCTTTGAGGAATAACACCACAAGCCATTATCAGTAAACTCTGGGTATTTTTTTCTAATAATATAGTTATATCACTCTTGCTTGATATTTAAACAATTTATCTTTTGAAGGATAAATGGGGGCTTGGATTCTTCTTGGAAGCAATGGGAAGCCACCGAGGGGCTGAGATGGCACTCGCAGAATCAGTTTTGCTCTTATTGTAGCCACAAGTGGGATGATAGCAAACAAAACTGGAGTCAAAGACATCTCTAATTATACCCATAGAGGGTTAAAAACAAACTTTTTCTCCTTAGAGAGAAGGGTATCGGCACAGATTCATTGTCAGATGGGATGAGCCGTTGTTTCCCAACTTTAAGAAGGATGCATAATTTAGGCCAAGATAATCACCAGTGATGCATACAACAGAGATTAATTTGAAAATTTAATATCAAAAGATTGGAGGACTTGCTTATGAAGCCACAGCTTCTAAATTATAGTGAGGCATTGGTTGGTAACAAGTGCTCAGGAGCATCAATGTGCAGAAGAATATTAAAAGATACCACATGTCCTCTAATTAAAATCACAGCAAAATGGAGTAATGATTGCAGATATATTAGCAAAGGGTAGGAGGAGGATTGGAAAGCAGTGCCAGGAAGGCAACAGGGGTTGGAAACCGTGGCCTCCGTGGGGATAGGCCTTTTCCAAATTGCAGCCAAATCCCTGGAAATTAGCAAGAGCTAGAGGGAAAGCTAATGCGAGTTGCTGGCATTATAGGAAATAAAAACACTTCTCTATCACACATGATTTGGACAAAGGTTTGGTCTGTTCAGAGCAAAGTGACAACTGGGAGTAATTAAAAACTGAGCCTGAGTTTGCAAGTGACTCACACACAGTAATGGCAATGAGATGGTCACATGTACTTGATGCTTTAGGAATGTTAGGTTGGTTGATCGTAATGTCTTCTATTTTTTTTTGTTTGCTTTGTGATTTTTTTTTTGTTGTTGTTGTTCGTTTTTCATAGGGGAGGTTGGGGGAAAAAAACCAGCAAAAATGGGAAAAGCTTCCATTCATTACTAAAAAGGCAATATTGGGGCAAATCAAGAGGACTGGCAGACTTTTCACATTTATATCAATCCCTTTATGAAGCAGGAATAAAAAGCTGTGTTATTAGAATGTGCCCAGAATTTTAGAGGCATGCATTTGTAAGGCAGGGGAATGTATCTGGTATGACGTCAGAGAGTAAGGCAGAGTCGTTTTTTGTTGTTGTTGGGTGGGTTGAGGGGGAGGTAGTGGTTGTGTTTTGTATTAGTTTGTTTGTTTTGATTGTTTCTCTACAAATTCATGAAACCTCATGGAAATTAGAATGAATAATGGCCAATGAGGTAATATTAAGGCATGTGAGAATAATCATACCTCTCTTCATCAACCCACCCCTATTTAATCCTCCTAACTGAATGCTACTCTTCTATAGCTTGTACTTATCAGGGCCTAGCCAAATAATGCAATGGAGCCCAGAACAAGGTCATACATTGTTAGCAGGGTATATCATGTATGTTACACATATACTGTCACTTCCCCGTTTGATGATCACTGCAGATATTAACAATCCGTTACAGCATTTTTTCCTACTGACTCCAAATACATCCTAAGGATCCTTTTCAACAGAGAGTCCCAAAAATTGCTATCAGTATTCAGAGGTGACATGCAAGATGCCAACCTCTGCTAGGGAAACTCTGGAAGTTTAAGAGATTTCTGAATACTTCTCATCAACAGGAAAGGAAGACAGAAAGGTGTAGCAGTCAGAGTCTGGAGCTTCTATTTCCTCTTCTACTCACTACCCTTGTAATTTTGGACACGTGATAGTACTTCTTTGATTGTTAATTGTGTCACCTATAAAACTGAAGTAATATGTACTGGTAATAGTTCTGAAAGTAATACAACAACAAAATGCAGTAATTGAATAATATGTCGAGTCATGTGATGATAGGAAAGAGAGCTGTTATTAGTGTTAAACTGGTAATCACTAATTCTCAGTTGCTTGCCTCTTTTCTCAGTGGCAGCAGAGCTGCTAGTAGAAGTTCTTCAGTTATCCACAAACTACTTCAGTTATCCTCAAACTTGAATGGCCATCAGAATCACCTGGATGCACTTGTTAAAATACAAATTGCTGCCTGGGCACAATGGCTCATGCCTGTAATTCCAGCACTTTGGGAAGCTGAGGCGGGCAGATCACCTGAGGTCAGGAGTTCTAGAGCAGCCTGATCAACATGAAGGAATCCAATCTCTACTAAAAATACAAAATTAGCTGGACATGATGACACATGCCTATAATTCCAGCTACTCAGGAGGCTGAGGCAGGACAATCACTTCAATCCAGGAGGTTGAGGTTGCAGTGAGCCAAGATAACACAATTGCACTCCAGCCTGGACAACAAGAACAAAATTCCATCTCAGAAAAAAAACCCACGCAGATTGCTAGGCCCCACCCTCAGAAGAACTAATGTGGAGCCCAAGAATTTGCAGTTCTAATAAGAATTCCCTTTTGCAAGCATCCCCTGCAATGCCCATGGTTGCACTTTCAGGGACATTACTGTAGGAACCTCTGCATCATCTAAATTCTACATTACAAGGTTTAGCTCATTTTCCATATCTTTTAGGAAGCATCTGCAATAAACCTAACACCAGTTCTCATTTCTCAGAACTAGTATACCACTGACAGTTTTCTACCATTCCTGGGAGGCTTAGCAGGCTTATGTTTTTTAGGAACCTTTTTATTTGTACTTGTCTTGCCTTCCCAGAGAGACTGGGAAGTTCCTCGAGGCTTCAGCTTTATGAATTTTTGTCTCTTTTTCTCTCACTAGTGACATGGATCCAAGCACTCATCTGTTTTATTGCTCTCAAAGTATTTTCCTCAACATATCTCCTGGATAATTCTGAAGATCCCCTAGACTGTGGCCTAAAGGGTCCAGAGAACAGCCCCCAACCATCGTTTTTTAACCCCTGCCACTCCTATCACCACACTGCTGCCATTTGAGAGGTTATTCTTCCACTGGACATAGCTGCCCTTTGCTGGTGATTACCTTCTGCTACCATAGCTCTGGTCCCCCAACTGCCAGTCTCCTTTACCTCGAGACTCCCATAATTAGGTCTGACCCCTTGAAAATGTTCTTTAGTGGCAGAGAGGAGGCTATTCTGATGTAAATGATTTCTCTAAAGAGAAAAAATATATAAAAATAAGTAACTGCAAAGGTTAATTCATAATTAAAGCCTCGGCCCAGACTATAATCTTGGCTATCTGACTGGCCCCCGGGGAGTTTCCACCTGGCCAGGTCCTGCCACTCACAAGAAGTAATCCTATCTTCTTTGTAGGTTGAACTCCTAGATCCAGGGAATGAAAGACCATCCCCCCTCACTATAGTCCCAGTCACCCCAAGTCCTGGTTTTCCAGCCGCTGTCTCTTGTCAGGACTCTTCGAAAGTGGAAATATTCCATTCCTGCAGGGAAAGCCTTGCCTCTACCCAAAAAGAATGATTTCGCTCCACAACCCTGGTGATAAAGTCACCAGGACATCAATGCAGTTCTGAAATACCTATTATTGATTCTTACAAACTACCTCATATGCCTCATTAATACGGATACAATTATGATGCATCAATGAAAACTCAAAAAAATTTGAAAAATCTTTAAATGTTTATTATTTAAAATATCAATTTTTAAAACAAAATTTTTAGAACATTTATTATTTAAAATATCAATGGCCATTCCTTTCTCCATCTCTCTTTACCTAGATTAAAAAAAAAAAAAAACCTTGGTGTTTACTTTTACCCAGAGTCATGTTGTTACATGCATTGAATTGCATTGAGAATGTATTAACAAATAAATGTGTATACATAAATGCTTATTAATTTGATCTATTAGTATTCACTTATAGGCCACTGTGTGTTGGGAAACAGATTTAAATAGTCGAAACAGAACTGCAGACTCTCCAGTCTTTCCTCTGCTCCTAATGTTCTTCCTGTTTACATGTAGCCAACTACTGTATCAAGGTGGTTCTGTAGTAGAGGAAAGTCCTTGAGCCCATTTGGTAACATAATGGGCCAGCCCTTTACTAATTCTACTCCCCTACTGAATAGTTCTCTGCTTTTCGTCTGCCAATGTTGTTACCCAGGCAGCCGCAGGTCCTTGCTTGGAAGGCCCTGCCTTGAGCAAAGATTGCTGGTTGAGCCAGAGCAGTGTGCCCCCTTTGCTTATTTGTTAAGATGAGCCTGTCCATCTGTCTGCATGCCACAGACCCTGGGTGGCAAAAAGCAATAAAAGCAACACACTCTTTGACAGCCCTCTCGGCATAATGCCGGCTTGAACAGAGGTTATTATCTTGTAATGTCACTGTTATTTCCAACAGCCCCCAGTGGATCTGCTGACTGGGCTAGACAAAAGGGGAGATGCTGTTAACACAGCCCTACACTTCCTAGGGGCAGCATTGTGCTGGGCTATCAGA